TTTAAACGCGAACCAATTCGGTGGTTGGAAGGCTTCGATTCAGTTCAATTTGTTTTATTAACGATTTCGATTTTGTATAGGCCTCCTTTTCGTGGTTTGGTTATATCATGAATGCGTGTGAATGATTAAAGGCCAAAAGCTTGAACGGGGGTGTATCTGAACGATACACATTGGAGCCTTTGCGTGCTGGTTAAAAAAATAACATTTAAGGGGATTTGGGGTTTTTGTAAATCAACCTCCAAAAATTTCAGCTCCTTAAATTGGTAGGCTTGACTTTGTTTCGATACTACTTCGAGATGAAAACTAAATTCTCTAAGTGAAAAAGCGATCTATGCATTTCCGCCAAGATAATGCTGCTATAAATTAAGCCGGAACCCCACGCATTTCCTGGAAACACTTTCCTGCCAGCCAATCATCAGAAAACTTTGCTCTTTGGCTCAAGTTTGTCCCTTGACAATTTTAATTTTCCGCAAATATTTACATAACTAATTTCGCCGCTGTCTCCGGCACAGCTGCTCGCCTCACCTGTCCCGCTCGAAGTTGTCCGGCAATAAATCAAAACTCAGCTAATTACGCAACAAAGAGTCAGGAGTCGGCCAGCTGAATGCTAATTAAAAAGGCAGGCGATGGTGGCAACCAGCCGAAGGACTTTGACATTAGCCAGGATATTCCGCCCCCGCGGGAGAGCCCTTTGTGCCAATACAGAATTTGGCCATTAACAATAATCCGAAATCCATAGAAATCTGTGGCCAATGGAACGCAATCGAATCGCAAATTTATGTGGCACCTATACAAGGCGGGAAACTGGCGCTCGTTCAGGACCTCTTGTCCTTCTGCCAGACGTAATTAATTCGATTATATTTCATTGATTTGAGCTGGCCCACAAAGGAGGCGAGCTGGACTCATAGAAAATAAAATTTAATTGAAATGCCGTTCGCCTGCAACGTAAATCAACTTGGCCAACAAGGAGCAAAAGGACGAAGCGGGAAGGCGACGACAGCTCAGCTATAATGGTAAACAAAAAATCAACGTGACAGGAAAGAAAATTAGCAAAAGTTCGCTCTGCGTTTTGTGTCCTTGCCGTAAGCCGCTTTTTTACATTGGGGAGTTTGGGGACTCCAGCATCCCCATTTTCGGGGATCCCCGTTATTTTGGGGGTAGCAATCGCCAGGGGATCCCCAAGGGGCGCGAATTTGGGACAGCCGCAGTCGAAGACGTGGCAACACTAAGCTTTCCACTTCCAGCTTTTGTGCCCTGCTTTGCTCTGGACATTGATTAATAATGTTTTTATATTTCGCTGTATATCCTGCATGGGATTTCTTATTTTCTATCGGGCAATACGCACGACTGCCGGTTGTTATTGTTGCTGGCCTGTGATTATATTTTGGCGGCCTCGTTTTTAATGACACCGAAAAGAAATAAATTGTTTGTGCCAAAGTACCCGGCAATGCGTCGGCTGAGAATTAGAAAAGTTGGTTGGAGAAGGAAGTTAATAAAAGTTTAAGAAATAGCAGTACTTTACCAAAAACATATGAATTTGCAGAATATATCATAAACAAAAAGGCAGTAAAGTTTTAAGTCTTTCAGTTTATGAAATGTGAACTATACGCCATCAAAAGCCTTTTACGAAGCCTTGCTAATACAAAACGTACTTTAACAACCAAAGAATAAATTCAAATTCAATCAACGAAATTACCATATCAAATTATATTCGCTTATCAGCAAATTCATCGATCCGATACTGTTAATACCGCATTGTTAAACTGGCTTATAATGCAAAATTTCAAATCTATTAATGTTGCCAAATTATTTCTGTTATAAAGGATTCCTTGTGTTTATGCAATTAAATTTAATTTGTTTGGCGTCAAACAAGCGTAAATCATAAGAGAATCATATTTGAACCAGATTTAGTTGAACGCCAAAGGGCAAGTTTCGGCCATTGTCTTGGCAACCAATTAAGTCCTGCGGTCGGGCGTAGCTATTAATTATGAGCGTTTTGCAAATTAAAAGATGCGGCAAGACACACAAGCACAGATCGAGATAAATGCATATATCCCGTCTGATTTCATTATAATCAATGAGTGCATTATCGTAAAGGCCGCCGCAAATCCAAACTCCGACTGCCTGTGAGATGGCTAATTAATAGGCAAATTCCAAGAGCAAATTGTCCCAATAATTAGGCATGCACAAGTGCATCCTGGCAGGACACCACCCACCGAAACAACCACCCACCCACTGAACCACCGCTGCGGGTTACTTGGCTTTCGACCAGCATCATCCACCTTCATTTGCATTAATTGCCGTTAAGTCGTTGTGCCTTGCTGGCGGCTATTTAAGGGTCTGGGTTTTGATGGGCTTACCCCCGTCCAAACGGAGTTGGTTTTGGGGATCCTTGGAACGTGGTACGTGGTACGTGGTCCATGCCCATACCTCCACCCCACCAGATGGCTTGCACTTGCATTGAGTGCAAATTTGTCGCTTTTGCCTTCGACGTCCCTGACTATTAACAACATTCCCCCTTTGGTTTGGCCCAAGCTCGGGCATGGGTTATTAATGGGCCTTCGGGCGTTATTGGAAATATTAACAGACTTGTTTTTGGTTTTGGTCGTCTAAGTGGGAAAGCATCTCACAGGCTCAGGGAATGTGTGCATGCGTGTGTGTGTGTTTGTGTGTGTGTGTGTGGGCCTAGTTGCTTGTAATTGATATTAAACTGCTGTGAGTGGCAGCCTAATGGGGCCAAAAGGGTTCAACTGTGAGCCACATTTGCCGGCAAAAGGGAATACGAATACGAATTCGAATTATGATGTCCAAAGTGCTCTGCATATGCAGCCATAAAGAGCAAGACATGGAACACCAGAAAGATGGAATTGTGAAATTTGAGTGATTTTGATTCCGACTTTATTAGGACTTAAATGCAGACGATTTGGATAAGGGGGAAAAAAGAGTTGGTATGCAATAAAATGTTGAGGTTTTCCTTTTTTTAGACTTATAACTTTAAGAATATTCTTACTTATTTCGATTAAAGCACCCAACTTGAATTCGATTTTGCAAAGGCGGTTAAACGGATTTTCTCGCGAACCCCTTAACTTATTCAGAAGAACTTACATGTTTTCAGCACCAACAATTGCCAGTCTGATTTGTATCCATCATTCACGAACTCGAAGACCAGCCTTCGTAATAAAATATTTAAACAATGCCGCCAATTAACGAGGCTATAACCGAGCCGCCACACCAATCATCGGTCGATCCAGGATTGAACATGGGAATTAAAAGTCGACTGTAGTTTAATTGGGCGCCCCTTTAAATTAGTGCTCTGCACTAAAACACTAAATTAAAACCCAATCAAAATGTGCGGGGCGACTGCATGAAACAACTGTAAACTTTTCCCACAGCGTTTTTCGAACTCGCGTAGTTGTTGTAACCACTCCGCTGTGCTTGCTGTGGCTTACTCAGTTAACTTGGCTAAGAGTTTGACGACTACTCGGCTCCTCTGCTGCCAATTCTCCCACCTTCGTGGTCGAGACAAACTGGCAATTAGTTTAGTTTGTTTCTACTTATGTGCAGTGTCGTTGGCTGTTGTTAAGCAAATGACAGACTGATAGACTGACGAACCGACGGAAGGAGAGCCCGACTAACAATCGATTCACACTCTGCAACAGGAGTTTCGAGCTATAAACGTGAGTCGATTTTATGTTTTATAGTGCCGTAGCTCGGGGCCCAATGCTTCATAAAAAATTTAAGGACAAAACAAACAAGTGAGAAAACACTACTGATTTTATTTTTCTTGATTTTATTTTGTTTTAGAAACTTGTGACTTGTCTTTAAGTCAATATAAGAAAAAGCCTAAATACTTTTATTTAAACAAAATAATTACGTTGCCCTTTCCTATATACTTGTTATTATTTAAGGACTTTCAAATTTTTATACTGCATTTTCTTATTAAAATATGTTTCGAAATTTAACTAATTTTCATATTTACATGATATTATTTTTAACAATTTATTTTACCTTTGCTTACTCTTTGGTATATAACTATATAAAGATCAGAGTCTCATTTGCTTTTCGAATACCTATAACCAGGGTATCTAAATACTTACGTGCTGATTTTATAGCATTTATAACGAAACATTCAACTAGACACTAGTAACTAGAGTGGGAAAAAGCAAGGGAAAGGGCGAAAGAGTGAGGCGGAGGAAAAGTGCCGGCGGGGATTTCCACCAAGTGGGAACCAAAACATTTGTCGCAAAGATTTTCACGTCACTCGGGGAGTTTTCTCCGCTTCTGTTTCGGTTTCGGTGTTTTCCAAATGGGAAGTCAGCCAGCGCGCTCAGGAAATGAGCGAACAACTGAACATGGTAGTGGCACGATTTTTCGGGGCGAGGGGAGCGACTGCCTCGCATTCATATAATCATTAACAGTGTCACATGCAACATAATGAGACCAGGGCGCGCCTGTCCTGGCCATGCCCCCAAGGCAACGGCTGTGGAGAAGGAGGTCTCATCCAGAAATACCCCCAGCTCCATAGGTCCACACCCCACTCACACACACACATACACATGCTGCAAGTCTGACGCTTAAGTAGTTTACATTTCGTGTATAAGGAGCCATAAAAGGAAAACATTCGCTCCATTAAGGGAACATAATTTTCCGTTTTTCGTTCGGGGATTTTTCGTCAAGTTTATGGAGATTGAAATGGGGACTCCGAACTTCTGCGGGTCTGCCTGCCAGCCATAAAAGAGTGCATCAAATGGGATTTTAAGTTGTCGCATTTAACAGGCTGCCGGAGGAGGGCCCTACAAAACTACAAATAGATCTATCAAATTCGTCGCAGCAGCTGAGGGTGAGATGCAACTGAGGTTTTGTCGAGGTTTGTCATTAAACAGACTTCTTCATCATCTTCATCTCCCTGTTTTTTTTTTTTTTTTTTGTCATATGTACATCGTCTCGCTGGGAAAGAGAAGAGTTGAGTTGAGTTGGTCGGGGAAAAGCTTTGTTTTTTATGTCACAGCTCATTAGTTTGGGACTTGAATCTCTGCTGGTCTCGGCTTTTCTGGAGCATCCGTGAGCGTTAATAGCCCTCTGAAATATTTATGAAACATTTGTCGAGCGTCGTCGAGTGGGCTGAAGACTTCAACGGATATGTTTGATGAAGCGTTCTTCAAGACAGGAAATCTATTAGTAAGTACCGAATGAAACCCAAATAGAAATGAAATGATTAAGCTGAAGACGTCAACGGATTTTGTTAAGACTTTGATTGGATTAATGTTGAAAAGAGAAATTTAAAATCAACGAGCTCTCAATATTTTACTATCCTATATTTTAAAGATCTTAAAAGATCACGTTTTAATTAGGTTTCATATTATTTAATAACCAATATGCAGACCTCAATAAGATTTTTATTTACTCCTGCCAATTTTTTTACGGCAATCTCTTAACGACTACGTCGAATAATCTCACTCACTTTGAATCTTTAATAGATGACAAACCGGACAAATTAAAGGCGCCCGTTCTCTCCGCCTCATATGTTTGCCAATGTCAAAGGAAATTAAAATCATCAAGCCGCACGACCCATCGATGATGATGAATTTATGCGAAAATTTAATTATTCCCCAACAAACAGAGCAGAGGCAAAGAGGAAAAAGCGAAAAAATATCGATGAAAAATTAATGTCGATTGGGAGCCGATACCAATAAATCAATGCACAAACAAAAGACACTGAGGAGCTGGGGAAGCAGTCGCCACAAAGTTTAATGAAGAATGATAAAAAAAAAACGAGAAAAAGTAATGACGTTAAATGAAAATATTAAAAGTGGCAAGAGGCTAAATATGGCCAAGTGATTTAAAGAGTGAGAGTGATGGGGTGAAACGGGGGTTCTTCGGGCCAATTAGTCTTTGGGCTCGTGTTGACAAGAAATTAACAAATTGCGAACGTCGGCCGACAAGGGGAAGGATCTTTTTTAAAGTAATTCAATATGTTTAAACGTTGGCCACAGGCAGCTCCACCCTGCAGCCATCCCCTTTTTTGTTTGATTGGCACACAAAGAAGGATGGAAGAAGGCCAAAGTGGAGGGGCGACGGGAGGAAGGTCCTCGCTCAAGGCACTTAATGCAGAGAGAAAAATAATAATTGTAAGTTAAAAATAATATTGAAGTATTTGTAACATTTTATTAAATATTATAGTAGAACAAAATTGAAGATCTGATATATACAAAAAGATTAAAAGTTATATAAAATATAAGGATATACTTTGAGTTTATACCCAACAGGCTTTTGGCTACAAGCTTTTTGAAGCTCAGTTCTTTTGGGAGCAAGTTGGTAAAGCTTTTTATATCTAATTGATTTCCCCGACACGCCTCATTAAGTACACCTAAAATTGTTTAGCTAATTTTCTCCAAGTGCACTCGACAGCGATGACACTTGAAACTTGCGATGGCGGAAGAAGATGGAAAAGGACTCGGGGCTGGAAATAAAAGATGGAAAGGTGGTGCAGCATCCGCAGCATCGTCAGCTTTTAATGTTTGAACTTTTTATTACGCAAGTAGCAAGGTAACTCGGCGGGGTTGGCGGGGCACCAGGGGCAAGTGGTTGGTGGGCGGTGGGAGGGCAGGTGGCGACCCCGATGCTTGTCATATGACACCAATAAATCGCTTCAATTGCTCTCTGACTGACGCCGTTACCTGGGCACTTTACTCCACTTCAGCCAGCTCCCTTCGGCGTTCAATGTCAGTGTAATGAAAAAATGCCAATACCAAAATGAATGTGTAAATGAAATGGCTACAAAGAGGACTCGGCACACACATCTCGCCCCCTCCGCTCCCTCGATTCAGAATGTGTCTGAGCTCCATTGGAGCGTGAGTAATCCTTTCAATTTAAACAGCTCCCACAGCACCGCACACAGGTGAATAATTGGCTTCTATGCTTTGGAAAATTACCGTAAAATTAGCCTGGCAAAGAGCTGCAAACGCAGGTAGCTTTTCAGGCAGCAAAACAACAAAAGTGGAACTGGAAATTGCTTTTGAAATTGAGAAGACACCAAAAGTCTAAGGCTTAACAATGGCTTGGAATTAAGTTTCTACGCCATTTAGGGGTAAAGAAAGAAAAGCCGTTGTAACCCTACTGCCATCCTTAATTATCTGACATTCAAAAAACCAATTTATCTATTTAAAGATGTCAATGGATAATTATTTTCTACAAAGTGTTTATTACTATCGATTATAAAACTTGAAGAAATAATCGGGATATTAAAAGCATTTGTCAAATTTTGAATTTATATATTAGCAACATTCTTTCAGGTCTTTAATTTATTTTTTATCGTATCATTTACATCTTTCTTAATTGTATTTGAGTTTGCAGTACCTTTTTAAACTTTTATTTTTGGTAAATGTTAAAGAAATAACATAAAATTATTAGCTTAATATAATTCGGTTACCTAATCCAAGCAGACGCTAAATCAACAAGTGAGTTTTCCTCGAAGCCAATATCGGTTTCAGCCTGAGTTAACTTGACTTGTTTACTGGCCAAGCCAATGGCGCAGCCCCAAGAAGTTGACAGGAGCAACAGCTGCCGATGCTTTCGTCAACAGGCGACTGGAGCAAAAAAGGACCAAGAAGCTCCAGTTTGTCACCTGACGCGTGCAACCAAGCAGGACGAGCAGTTCGGGCAACAGCTGCTGTCCGCACCGGGTCTCCAAAATTTCCAGTTGCCGAATCCCAACTGCCGCCAGGATGCCTGGATACTTGGGTACTTGGATTTTGGAGCCATGTGTTGCTCACTCCCCTTCGACATGTGCGCATTCAAATGGAAGCTGTGAAGTGGCAGAGGATTCCTCTACTTTTGCTGCTTCGCTTCGTCTGGTTTAAACAAATGGCGTTTTGGCCAGCAGCTTCTTGGGGGTATCATATATCATTGCCCCACAGCCTCTTGGTGCCAAAAAAATATCAAAGGTGAAAGTTAGGTGAGCCAATTACTTACTTGAATACTCTCTCAGTTTATAATGAAGTGTTTTAATATTTAAAACACTTACAAAAAGTTTTATGCTTGCTAGCTTTATTTGTATTTTGTAAAATGTATTTAACATATGATTTTTACAATCTTAGTTTATGTGCCATATCCTTAAGTAATTTCATTTTTATTAAATACTAAATTTTTCCTGTTTAGCATTTTATTTTGGTTTATGTGTCTGAAAAACAATAATACTCCCTAAATGCTTATTTTATAGAGAACATCCAAGAAGAGATCCAAAGCTAAGTACTTTGGACATTCGTGTTGGAATCCTTGATGAGGTTCGATGCAGTGGCAACCCTAGACACACACACACACACACCCACAACAAACGTAACACCCACGCATATGTGGAACACTTGTATAAATTGGCTCATTATGAAACTCATCCATAATCTATGAAGCCCGAATGGCCATCAAGCTTCTTGGGATCCCGCACACAATCCCACACTCACTTCGATTACTCTGGTCGAAAAAGAAGGCCAAAATGAATTGAAGGGCAACCCTGCCATTTGTGACACGTGTGTAACTCGTTTTTCAAAAAGGAAAACCGGGCGCCAAACGGCGGAGAAAGACTTTCGCCCGGCGCATAAAACAATTCACTTTATGCTCCCGAATTTAGCCATTTGCCACCATTGAAGCGTTAACTGGACATCGACAGAGAAACTGAGAAACCGAGAAGCATTTGGCATCCCTCGTAATGGCCTTGGTCCCGGGAATATATACATTTTAAGCAGTTTCCCCTTTTCAGATATTGTTAAAGAGCATTACTTAATAAATGAAATACGCAGTCAATGAATTTCAAACGATTTTAGCAGAAAATTGCTTCAAAAGAGGAGAAGTCATAGAAAATGAAATGCTAACAAAAGATAAAAGACTGACAGATTAAATTGAGCTGAAGGCATGCTTTTGGAATTATTCTTTTGCCAGAAACTTTCTACTTGTCTGATTTTTAATAAATATCGAAAGCCGTTGTAAACTTAGTTTATCCCTTAAATCTATCCAATTTGTATGTGCATTCTTTAAGCATCGACCTCGATTTCCGGCCCTATATTTTATCTCGAAAAACCATCTGCTCAATGCAAAAATAAATAAAGAAAAAATACAGAACAGCAGAAAAGTGTTGCCAGAATAATTCCGACTTAATGCAAAACAGCTGACCACACTTTGCTGCTGCATCCTCGACAGCCAGCGCCAACCTGTCAGGTGAAATATTTCTAATTTTTCAATGTCCGGAAAGGATTTCTTGCTCCCGGTCCTGTTCATCCTTGACCTGTCCCAACTAATATCTTATGTAATGGCAGGCAACAACTTTTAATGCATATCGACAGCGCTTGTGCTGATATTTCACAGGCAGCTGGGTGCGCAGGTTCCTCGGTAAAAACTATTTTTAATATGCATTGAAAGGGCCAAGTCCTGGCCAAAAACTTTGACTGGCTCTTCTAATTGTGCAACTTCCGCTCGCTTGGCCGAAAGTGTGCGGCTAATGCTGCACCTTAAGTGCAACCACCGCCCACCGAAAACAAAAAAAAAAAGAAAAAAAACACCCGACAGCTTGTCTTAATGCCCTCCACTTTTTTGGGGGCGGCAGGCACTTCATTTTGCCGAGCGGAGAGTGCAGGAGGCGTTGCCGCATAATAAATGGACAATTTGCCAGTTGAAGCGTGCAAAAGCCCGCAGGGATGTAGGATGGCCACCCCGATGCGGTTATAGATTACTTTGGCCCCAACCCCTATTAGGGGCCAACCCTTGGCCAGCCATAAAATTATTTTCTGCAACAATTTCTTGAGCGCTTCTTCTCGCTTGCCGCTCGAGGCCATTTTAATTTTTGATCTCGTAAATTTTCACAAGAGATAATAATAATATGATGCGTTCCACCTGGGAGCCAAGAGTGGGCGAAGTGTTCTTGAGAGCACCTCAAACTTCAGCTTCTTACCGTTTTATTGACTTATGGCTCGGGACCACAAAAGGCCACAACTTGAGCAATTATTAAAGTTGATCCAAGGCAAACCCTCCGAAGCCCCACCGCTTCACGAAACCCTGTGGCAACCACTAAATCATCTCTTTGATAAGCAATTTGATTTATTTTCCGAAAACAATTTTTTTTTTTTTTTTTTTGGTGCTGTTACCCAAACTATTTCGGTGCAAAAAGCGAAACAACAAAAACCCACCGAGTTTAGAAATATTTGTGCTTAGGTATTTTTTGGCCAGTATAAAGCACCGAAACGCTTCGGTTAGGCAAAATGGGCATTAACATATTTTAAAAGTAGATTGCGGCAGTTGTTGTTTTTGTTGTTGTGGCATGTCAAGCATGGAGTGCAAATAGCTTACAGCTAAATATTTATACACAAATTTTGGTTTGATATCGCTTTGCCCCTTTTTTCCTAGCCAAAACACTTCTGTGTGAGAGGGTCATCCATCAGTCGTGGGTGAGGGAAATTCCTCATTTTTGACATAATTTGACTGCGGTGTGGTGAGTTCGTGTCCTTTTTGGCAGGACAGGAAGTTTGAAAAGGATTGGGGATGAAGTTGGTGTTGAACACGGTGAAAAATTAACTATAAAAAATGTTATTATTAACAGAAATACTTTCTAAGTATTAGATTAACACCTCTGATTTCTGAACTGATACGAAAAAAACTCTAGCAAAAAATGAGCTTTAAAGAAATCAATTTTTTATTGATCTGCAGAGGCATCACAGGTCATTATCAGCTAAAGACCAACTTTCTCCAATAACTTCTCCATCTTTCTTAACAGAAGTGTGAAAACTCCTCGGGCCTTTATTTATATGCCATTGTTTCCATAATAACTTCAGTAATCCCTCGAAAATTTTTCAATTTAACGTTACGAAATTGCCAAACAAAGTTTTTACCCAAAATAAAAATTGGCCCTAAGCTGGCCCAAATTCTATACTCCAACATTCAATCATAACGGATCCCAAAGAGGGATACCCAAAGATAAGGAAGAAACAAAGTAATTGAATAAGTCCAAGGAAATGTCAAAGTGGAAGAGAATTTTCCCTGTGATGTGAGTTTTCGGTTGCTTAACTTTTTGGCACAGCTGTGCGGGGCCTTTTTTTACCCTCTGACAAATAATTTGTACGCAAATTAAGAAAACAGCCAAGGACTGAACATTTGAAAGGATGGGGACCAATTTAATGAGAGAAGCGTGTGCCAAAGTGTGATTAAAACTTTTATTTTGCGAGAAATTCGATTTTCTTTTCTTTTGAGCATGTGCGGAATAATTGGCAATTTTTTCATTGTCATCGGCGTGAAGCCTTTTTCTACTCTTTTTGTGGAGTACTCTGGAATTTTATTTAAAATACTTTATATAAATAATTTAATAATTATAATTTCAATAGATTCCGAACATATCAAAAGAACTTCATAGATAAATATTCAGCGGCGGTTAATATTTAAACTAATACTTTTAAATCTCAACAAGATCCTGGGTCATTTTTCAAAAAACTACCATAAAAAATCGGTGAGAGTATTATAAATGATGCGTGCCGTGTCAAAAAAATAATTTTTGCTTCCATTATCATCAGGGTTTGGTAATCGCGGAGCAACCTTTTTTTTAAAGTCCACGCTCAATTGGTATAATGCGGCGTAATAACCATTATTTGACATCAAGAAGAAAAGTAAAACGCAGTCAGGGCTGCTGTCACCCTTTCCCCCGGGGGAATCAGGAATCAGGGAATCGCATTGCACCTTGCAGATTGCCGGGTGGTGGATGCTACTGCCGGGCTTACAAAGGATTAATTTGAATAGGTGTCTGGCACTCGGTCCAATTGGGTAAGTGTCTCGAAACAAAAAACGAAATCGGGATGGACGGATGGATGACGAGAAATCAAGTGCCGGGTGTCCTGTGGAATGGGTGGTGCTGGGTGGTTCAGGGGATTGCCGGCTATCAACCACCGCAAACGGAGTTAGCTCCGTCGGCTGTTGCCTTTCCCATCATGCGTAATTCTATTTGTCATTTTGATTATGACATTGTAATGCTTTAATTGATGCGATGCGACAAAGGACGGCAGGGAAAACGCGGTGGGTGCAAGTGGGTGCGACTGCAAACTGTAAAAGGCAATCAACCCTGTCTCTCCTTTGTGTTCCGGGATTTTGTCCTGGGTGATGACTATGACGCGCCGGCGAGATTCCTCCTTTTTTGTTTGGCTTTTTTTCGTTGCCTGTCTCTATGTTTGACAAATCCTATAAACAACCCGGGGCAGCTTTTTGTGTTCCATGTTTGGCGTGTCTGCGGGCCAGAAACGTTCGAAATTTCAATGAATTTTAAATTGAACTCTCTGGCTATGAAATAGGGGGAAAACGAGGTGAATCAGGTGGCTATTGATACGCTTGAAGGGTCCAGAACACCAAGCTGTCTGCATCTACATCAAATTTGATTTTGTGCTCCAAAACCAGGGGAGATGGAGATATTTAACGGTTTATATTTTAGATAATGTTTTATTTAAACGTTTTTAATCCTTATAAATTGTGTTAAAAATGCTTTTTATTAATGTTTAAAATGTTAGATGTAATAGATTAATTTATTGATCCTTTTTCTCTACCTTCAGAAAACATTATCTAGTTATCAATATTCCTAAAAATATTTTATTAATTACCAAGTTTTTAGTACTGGTGGGTTAAAAGTCCAACTGGCTTACAAATGAAAACCAATTGATTATTTTTGTATTGCAATCATATTTTGCACAACCCATTCGCGATCCTTCTTTTTCAGCCAGTATAAAATCTCGAGCCCGCTCCGATTCAGAGTTTAAAGTGGAGGAAGGGCTGCAAAGATAAGTTTATTTATTAATATTACACAACAACATACAATAACCTACCTCAAAAGTATGTGCAACATTTCTGCTGCAGTGCTAAAGTCCTTTGCAAATTTAATCCTATTAACCTCACAGATTGCTTCTAAGAGACAGGCATGCCCATTCAATCCATAGCTACTTAAAAACATAAGGATATTAATTGTATCCAAGCTAGATTTATTAAAATATACCCATTAAGCATATGTTCGATGAAGTCGTATATTTGCCAACGCAGATACGTAGGCGTCTTAAGAAACTTTCTTTGTCTTTCGTACTCAGTGGAATTCACTGGGTATTCAGGAAAAAGTGGGTTTTGCCTATAAACAGTTGCGTTGTAGGGTAGATAATACTCTGCTTTTAAGACGTAGCCCACTGTTAGTGATTCATAATCAAGATCGGCTGGGATGCCAATGCCAGCAATAAACTAGGAAACATAAAAATAGAAATATAAATATTGTATAGATTTTAGAATGACTTTACCTGGTGTCTCGTGGGCGCTTGTCGGGGAAATATTAAAAAACGTTTGGCTCTAGAATGCACATCTTGTAATGTCGTTTGTTGTAAAAAGCTAAGACAGAGTGTTGCACAAACTGAAAACCACACGGATCTTTCCATGTCGGCTGTTCGAATTCAACTAAGCCCAGAACAGAATCTGCAGACACCAAAGATTCTTTAACAATTAGCAATCATCTGCCAAATGGAAAAGTAGCATACAGGTCAGCTTAGTTTAAACAAGCTGTCTAAACGGTCAGATCTTCATTTAACTCTTCTTGAAGTGACCGAAATTCAAATAGAAAAAATATTTGTAATATCATAACAAGAAATATATATTTACTTCTTTTAAGGCTTAGGAGTTAGGTTTAAGGTTTTATAAAAAGATACTTTAAATCACCTGCTTTTAATAATTTATTTTAGAGATAATTAAGCAAGACCTCACATATCTGCATGCAATCATTATCTTTGAAGCTATTATAATCGATCCCCACTTCTGTTCCCATTCAAATTACCCGCATTGTACTCGGGGACAGGCAAAAACAAAGGGCGTATGTCTCCCATTCCGTTCGTGGGGTAAAACTGTAATGCAAAAGCCGAAAATTGCGTTTTCAACTTGTTGTTGCCATGGCAATTTTCGGGCCCATGATAAGCGGCAGCAAGAACAACAAACCCGTAGAGCTGCCAACACGAAGCAGTTATTTTACTGCACGCAAGTCGCAGGCGACGTGACGCGACGCATGGTGCACGCAACCCAAAATTAGGCGCAGGACAAACATGTGTGCAGCAGTGCTGTCGATCTAGCCGAATTCCTATCCAGACTGGCTTGGTTTGAATTTATTTTAAAAGGATGCATGAGAAATAGGTTACCATAATGTTTCTTAGATAACTTAGAAATTTTTAAGTAAAATCCGACAACCATCCGTAAAACACCTTCCCTAAATTAATATTATATGACGACAGCTTAATTAAAATTCATTTTTTAACATTTTTAAAACTACTAGTTATCGTCAACACATTTTCTTGCTTTAAAATTTAAAATTAAAAACCGAAAAATATCAGACAGCCTATGTACATATACATGACTAAGATATTTATATAGATTACTTTTAATAAAATTTATAATTTCAAAGTAAAAAACCTTCGTAATATTAACCTAACAATCCGACAGAAACCTTAGAACATTAACCAGCTTCATGCCGATCCATGACATCACTGATAAGCTGATAAGGGGAAAAGCGGGAAAGTTTGCAAAAGAAGGCTGAAACCAATCGGCAAGCCAAAAGGCGTAACCGTTGCACGCCGCGTTCCACCTGATCGACTTTTCCAGGCGCAGCAGCAATGAGGGGATGTTCGGAGAGAGAGAGAGGCAGAGGTACAAAAAGGGAAGGAAATCGGGGCTTTGGGATGGGGAAAAACCTGAGTACGGGAATACGGGAACGGGCAGCTGTCGGCGTCATCATTCTAATGCACAATGCACAGTGGGCATGAAATATTGTTGACAGGTGAAAACGCCGCGCACACTCATGCAGGCAACATGGGGCACGCGCGAGTTAACGACATCGGGACACGTCACAGGCGGCAGCGGCGGTGGAAGATTAAGCCGAAAGAGATACGGTGTCCAAGTGGGGCGCACAGCGCCCGAGGTGGGACCCTTTTTTGGTCGTACCGGGGGTTACGTGCTGGGCGGCAATTTGGGCGGGGCCGCCTCCCCTGGGGGCGGACGGAAAGCGGTAATAAGTGAAAGTGTGTGCCAAGTGAAAGGGTGGCCGAGGTGAAGGAAAAGTATCCGATCCGGGGGATGCGGCCTTAGCTGTTGCTGGTGTCAGTCAACCCCTGGGGCAGTATAATAAATACTTGATTAGTGGAATAATAAATTCAAATGCCTTGTCACTTTCTAAGGAAATGCTGAAATTTCAAATTTCCTACCCATTCAATCATCACTAATCTGGTTCTCTGCGTTAACTCAACATCTGTAGCAGCACTAAAGAAATTTTCTTATGTACAATACATACAAAAATAAAATGTTTAATGAAAAACCTTTAAAAAAAAAAAACAATCCAAAATCTACCGAAAAATCAAATAATCTATTTGAAAATTAATTCAAGTCGAAGAAGGTACCATTGAATAATGCATGTATTTAATTTATTCCCTTGAGTGTAGTTTAATATGCTTTTGCATGTTTTAATTGTGTGACTGTGCCAATCTTGGCTGCTGATTGCGTTTATCCAGGAAACTGCAAGCGAAATGCATTTCATTTAAAACAAGAAACCCGTTGACAATTAGGCAAACCTCTACAAGACCCTTTCGGCGATAGGCAAATGTCCTGGCTTATCAAAAACAGGTGAAATTCAACATTTGCATGGGAAGAGCGTGCGGCACGCAGACTTCGTTCCATTTCAGTTGAGTTCGGTTCCTTTTTTGGTTCAGGACACGCCTGCGGCTCTGCAATAAATTCACTTTGCATTTTAATTTCAACTGGAAACAGTAACGTGAAAAAGTGTGCAATTTATCCATAGAAAAAAAACCCACATACTCAAAGAGCAAACAAAGAAAGGATGCGAAATTGTGTAATTTCTGTGGCTGCTGCGTTTCTGCGTTTTCTGGAAAATAGGGATCCCCTTCTGTTGCACACGTAGTCGCGGAGTCAACTTTTGGCCTCTAATGTTGCTGAAAATTGAATTTCTTATTACAAAAATACTCGCGTTGCGTGCGGCTGCTGCGTTGTACAACAACGTAAAGAGCATTACGTGTTTACGTAAAGTTTTGGCGCCCGTCGGCCAAATTGTTTTCCCCATTCCCCCAGAACTTTTCCTGGGGCTCCTTGCGCTTTTCGTTTTGGATTGTTTATTTTATTATTTTTTGTTTGCGCTCAAATTAAATAAAATGTTTATTCAAACGTTGAAAATTGCTTTAAATAAAAAGAGGCAGACAGCCGGGAAATGGCCAAAATGATATCCCAAAAGGGCTGCCAAAATGTCGCCGCCAATGTCCTTTGTCCTTCGCATCCTTAGCCCCTTCTTCCGCCGCTCGGATAACTACTTGGAGCTTTGACTGACTTTTTGCTATCTTTGGTTTATCGCCCAAGTGAATCATGTCAACCGCAAAAAGGGGCATCATCTTGGATTACCATAAAGGCGTCCGCATCCTGCGTCTAGGCGCCATCCATTTTTCATATATATACGAGCGGGTCCTGTTCATCCTGCAGGATCTGGATCCAGATCCTGCATGTGCTGGCCCCAAGGCATTGTTCCGTTATTCGGTTCAAAAATGCCGGCAACAACCGAGCTGAGAAATTTTATAAATGAGCTGCCAGCCACTCCCTTTTCCCGCTGGCCAGGAAACGAGCAAATCGCCTGGAGAGTCCTTGTTGCCAAAAGGACCGACGTCACAATGCCCCGAAAGTCTTGATGGTCAAAGCCAAAGTGCAATGTCCGTGATGACTTGCCAGCCCAGTCATCCCGTAACCCCAAGGCTTAACCCACTACTTCCGACCTCCGCCCCATGAAATAGGCGAAATCCGGAGAGAGGCGACAAGTTTGACGCCAGCCCAAAATTGAAGTGTAGGATATGGGTTCCGGTCCTGTTTATATTGGAGGATGCCCTCTGCTTTGCCTCGCTCACGTTCAGTTCATCTTCAGCAGCAATCAATCATGTGGTTTGAATTAGGGTATTTACTTTAGTCGGTCAATCGATAAAGGCGAAAGTAAAATATTTTCCCAGTCTTTCCTCGTCAGTCTGTCAAAGTGACCAACATCAGGAAACTTCTGAGGTTAGAAAAAGGGCTTAAAGGATTTTACTACGGTCATCAACGACTGGGGAAGTCCTTTAAAATTGAGGGGGTATTTTACTGCAGAGCACAAGAAGGATTGATGAGCCTTTTAAGTGATGGAGATAATGCGTAAAGGCTATGCCAAAGACCACAATTCGGTTTTTGTCCAATGAAAAATAAATAAGGAATATAACTAACAGGGAATATCAAGAAAGAAATATATCATCCTCAAGAAAAGGTTTTGTTTTGTTTTTAAATTTTCAAAGAGTATTGCAAAGCTTATTTAAGGTAAGTCCTTTTCTAAAAACCAAACCAAAGTGTCACAGATCTAAATCTTAAATTACGATCTACCAACGAAAGGGGTGGTCAATGTCAATTTTTGAAGAGTAAAGCAAAAGTTTCGTTCCACATCTATTTACATTTGGAAAACTTTATGCGGGCTGAGTGTGTGGGAGTAGGTTAATGACCTGCCAGAAACCTTTTGACTGCTATCATCCCACGCCCGAAAATCCTCTGGAGAGGAACACCCGTATTAATCACGAGCCTGTCACCTTGCGTAAATATGCCAAAATGAGTGGAAAATGAGCCGAAGATGCTACAAGATACACTTTTGGTAATGAACTTTGCAGCCAAAGTTTATTAGAATCAGGGCCAAAGTTTTAACTTGGGCGGGGGGCAGGACCTCTTCAACAGTTAATGAGTGGGCCAAAGTAAATAAGTACGCTTACCCAAGTTAACATTATGAGCACCGGAAAGTTTCTGGCTCGCAGGCAATCAAACACTTTTGGACTTTGATAAATCATAGTTGACCTGAGTCGAACTGTACCTTTGGTGTCGATGATTTATGGAATTTGCCTAACCCTTTCATCCCTTTCTGTTTGTAAGCTGCTTAGCAATTTGTCAAATAATAACATTTGGTGAAAATATCTTATCAATACATTGATTTTCACGCCCATCAAGTGCTTGACCAGCATGCAAACAAATTACACTCAATGATTTCCAACTCAATATTGTGGCACCGCTCCCGCCTTCCGGGATTCCCCGCAGTCAAATAACATTAAGGTGTCCTGCTCGCCCGGTATCTGTGTAAATTATGAAAATTACCACAAATGTTGCATCGTTCCATGGAATCACATGCGGTTTATGGGCATTTTAAGCCACACACATACACACACTAACACACATTATTCGCACACCGCCACACAGGTGTTGTTTGTCCTGCCAAGGGAATTTACATTGATCTCCGAAGGAGTCTACAACCGCGTAGGCTGTTATTCTGGTGTGCGTGTATTTAATGCTGTGTTAAATTGAAAATTTGCATAAAATATTTGCTGTTTATTTATTGGCCAGG